TCTCTCTCTCTCTCTCTCTCTCTCTCTCTCTCTCTCCACTCCATACTCAGATGTGCTTCATTGTCAAGTGCATACTTAGATTAGATTATTGAATTGTAATGTTGATCTGCTGTTGTTTTTAAATACAATTTGACTGAAAATGTTCAATTGGCAGTTTTTAATAAGTTAGCCAAAGAAGTGAAGCTCTTGTCCTGCATTCTTTCTTAAGTTCCATTTATGTTAAATTGGTTTTTTTCTCTGATTTTTAATACCAACAAATCACCTATTAATTAAAAGTTACATTTTTAATTTCCTAGAAAGAAAATCCCATTGCAACATTGTTTCTGATATATATTTTTTTCCTTCCTGTTTTGAAGATTATATTTAATGGCATTCTTTTCTTTAATTTTCAAAGACTTACTGCAGGTAGTGCTATTTCTAGTGCATAAGAATGTTTCTGAAACTCACTCACATCACTAACGATACTTGCCAAACAGAGCGTCCATGAAGTTTCTTATATCCTATTCAAGTTCATCAACATCAAGCACTGTAGATGTTTTAGGGTGAGGCTATGATACAGAATGCATAAATTGTCCCCAGGAAATATGAAATGATGCAGGTGCTGGATGGAACTTTTTTTTACTCCATGAGCTGTGTAATTCTATCTTCAGTAGGCCTACTTCTTAAAAAAAATCAAATGTCTAATCAATAAATCATTTTCATGCTCAAAAAAGAAAGAAAAGTAGATGTATTTATTTTGCACATTGATTCTGCATGAGGAGCACTTATGTATACCATATGCAAATGGTATCACAAATCTACTTGTGGTTTGTGATAAGTTACACACACCATATAAAATGTAAAACACTTAATTGTTGGTAATTGAGCGTGCTTTCTCTGGATTTAATAGAACCCTCTATGGGTTTTCACTGCTTCTTTAACTTGCCTTCCATTTAATCTTCCTAAATGCTTTAGAAATAATAAACATATTTTTTAAAAACCAATCCATATTTGAACTGCTCCTAGTTCTGAGATCTTGCTTTTAAAAAAAATGTATTCGTTGCAATTTCTAAAACTAGAAAGCAACAATAAAATCTTCAGCTTTCCTGGTCTAAGAAGCAAGCTTCCCATTTCCCTGGTGTCCTTCATGTTTTTTCTGTACTCATCGAGTCATTTTTGTTTCTCTTCCACCACCTCTGTCACACTTGAACTACGAGACCCAATTCAAAAGGTGGGGAGGCCAGGCTCCCGCCACACGGTATATTCAAAGGGAGTGGAGGTAATCTTCGTGGCATAGGCCACTGCCAATTTTTGACAAGGAGGATAGTCACTAATTCTAAGACACGTTCTGTCTCACTTTTCAGGACCCCAGCAGAGGTCTCACCATGCTGCAATGTATCCTTTGGTACAGAAACTAGAAGATAACCAGCTCACCAGCTCACTTTTAGCCCCCTTTCCTTTGAATAGGAGATGCTTCACCTAGGAGCTAGGTTACCATCATGCCTGCCATCTGACCTACTCAGCTTTTCCTCTGGGGTCCAGGACTGTACCTATCTCCTGCAGGAAATTGTGCAGCATCACCTCTTCTGTGGCTTTCCCCATGTCCCCACAGTGTTGACATGGTACCAGGTGAAAAGAATACTAAGTATCTCTTAGATGAGGCTTTTTGCTATTCTTGAATTTCTCCTCCCTCTGGCAAGATTCCCTTCGAGGTTCTTTCAATAAAAGCAAGTTACAAAGGAAAGGTTCAAGCTGGGCAACAAACACCACTAGCAGGATGACATCTCAGACTTCCTGAGTATCCTTTGGATAGGTTGGCAGGCCCATAGCAACCAATAGGAAGTGATGGATCACTGGTGGCGGATGGGGGAAGCCTAGGCAGACCAAAGCTCTCACCTGCAGATCTCTGATGGGGATATCTCACTGGCCTGTTCCAGGTCACATGGCCACAAACGTTGATGACTTCTCGGACTAATTGGCGACCACACATCTGAACAACCTCTTCCCACCATCCTGGTTGGGGTGCTGTGGAAACTTGGCTCAGCAGCAGCCAGATTCCTAGGAGGTGGATCAAGAACAGGTGAGACATCTGGGCCTTTTTTCTTCGCACTGGTAGCCTTTCTCTAGAGAATGCAGCAGATCTCACCCACAGATCTGAGCCTGTGAGGCTTCCCTGGCTTCAGCCTGCTTTTCCTACCTGGCTCAACCAGGCTTTTATATTCTCTGGGCTCTTGCTCAGCTCTTGAGCCAATGGTCCCAGCTCCACCCTTTCCCCACCCACCTCCATGGAATTTACTCAGCTCTTGTTCACCCTCCCCATCTTTCCTCCATTACCCCATCCTTTTGCCCTGGGCCTTTTTACATTGAACTTTTCTTCTCTTTTCTTACCTTCAAACCATTTGGTGTACTAAAGTCATTCTCCATTTGCAGCCTTTCCTTTATAGAGAGCAAGAAATGACTGTTACATTGAATTCCATCACCAAAAATAAAGTAGTATCTTCTTAGAGCCCAAAGTTTTCCAGCAAGCATATTTGCCACACTATCTTCTAGCCTAAACAAGATAAGTTAGATAAAATAGTATAGAGTCTGGTATATCAACCCATAAAAGATATGATGCATTAATGGATAAATTGTTGACAGGAGGAAAAAAACTGGATCTTACTGTGAATCCTAGTTAAAACACACACACAATAGGTTTGTACAGTCAAGTCTTAATTTTATAACAGACATTCTTCATGGTACTTGCCTTCTCCTCTGGGAGACATCTTGATTGAAAACAATATTGTAATGTGAATATTGTAATGTGAGATTATATTCTGTATTTTTACAGATTGGAGAAGAGAGAGAAAGAGGTGGGAGGTGGGGGTGGAGAATGAACAAACAAAAAAGAAATGAAGAAGAAATGAATCCCACAATCTAAAAAAAATATTTTGGTAACATGTTTTAACACACACACAAAAAAAAATGTGCTTTTTTCTTACTGTAATCTATATTTGCTGCATTTGGTAAGAGTTGACTTTTTAGAACTTTATTTTAACTTTAAAAATATTCAACAGAGTTTCTGGTCATATGCTCATTAAACAACTCTGATAGATGCCCAGGGAACTTTTATGTGCAAATAGGTTTGTTTGTTTTTTCCAACAATTCATATGCTTGCATGCATAAACCTACTCAGCTGTATTAGCTCAGTTACAATTTCAACAGGGCCCAATTAGCATTGGTCAAATGTGCACTGTACAATTATTAAGATCATACCTAATGAAAGCTGTGGAATGGTTAGAGGCATTGCTGCTTTAAAAAGGGGTTTCATGAAGACAAGCATTAAAGAGAATCTTCTCAAAATTGAAGTTCAAAGATATTTTAGGGGAAGTGGGGTTAAGAGTTCTTGCAAGAATAGTCCATTTTCAAATCTGTCTTCCAAAGGAATCACTCATTGCATAATATAATTTTGACTAATGTTTTAATTTTTAATGTGCATTTTTTAGAAGAGGTGCTTAACAGTCCATCTTGATTTGATATTTATATGGGTAAGAGAAGTGTCAAGTTTCATGCTTCTACATGTGCTGTTTCCCCAGTACCATTTATTGAAGAGACTGGCTTTTTTTCAATGTGTGTTTTTGGCACTGTTATCAAGAATCAGATCTCCATAGGTGTAAGTGTTTATTTCCGGGATATCTATTCTATTCAGTTGGTCTATGTGTCTGTTTTCATGCAAGCACTGTGCTGTTTTGGTTACTGTGGTTTTGTAGTATGTCATAAAATCAGATACTGCAATGCCTCCAGCTTTGTTCTTTTTGTTCAAGATTGCTTTAGTTATTTGTGCTTCCATGTGAATTTTAGGATTGTGTTTTCTAGTTCTGTGAAGAATGCCATTGGTCTTCTGATGGAGATTGCATCAAATCTTAAATCATTTAGTGTAGTATGGACATTTTAGCAATATTAATTCCTCTAGTCCATGAGCATGGGAGGACTTTCTACTTTTTTTTTTTTGTATCTTCACTTTCTTTTCTCAGTATTTTGTAATTTTCATTGTAGAAGACTTTTGCTTCCTTAGATATAGTGATTCCTAGATTCTTTTAGTTTTGTTTTTGTATTTTAGTTGCTGACATAAATGGGGTAAATGTTTTCATGATTTCTCATCAGCAAATTTGTTACTGGTATATAAAAATACTACTGATTTTTGCATATTGAATTTTTATCCTTTACTGAAATTGTTTATTGTTTCACTTCTTTTAGTCTTTCAGTGGAGTCTTCAGGTTTTTCCTATACCTAGAATCATATCACCTACAAACATATAATTTAACCTCCTGCCCTCCTAATCAAATTCCTTTAATTCTTTCTGAAGTCAAATTGCTCTGGCTAAATCTTCCAGTACTCTGTTGAGTAGTAAGAGTGGATATCCTTATATTTTTCTAGATATTAAAGGAAAGGCTTGCAGATCTTCCAATTCACTCTATAGCTGTCTATGATTTTGTCACATATAGCCTTCCTTGTGTTGTCATACATTCTTTCTATACTTAATTTGTTCAGGGATGTTAGCATGAAGAGATGTTGAATTTTATCTAATGCATTTTCTGCCTCTGTTGAGATAAAATCTCAGTAACAGGCTGGCCTTGAACTTGTAATCCTCCTGCTCCAGCCTCCCAAGAAACTGGGATTATAGGCATGTGCCATCATACCTGGTTAAACAAATTTTAAGAATGAGAGTCCATTCTTCTCAAACTATTCCAAAGAATTAAAACAAAGGGAAATCTTCCAAACTCATTCTACCAGACCAGCATCCTTCTGATATCAATAGGAGACAACACACACACACACAAGAAAAGAACTATAGGCCAATATCTATGTTTATCAGAAATATTGGCTTATAGTTTTTGTATGTTCTGTCCTTGTCTCAACAAAATACTAACAAATCAAATCTAAAGGCCTATCAAAAATGTAACTCATCATTTCTAAAAGAGATTTATTGCAAGGATGTAAGGATGTTTCAAATACATAAATTAGTATTAACTGAATCAACAGAATAAAGGAAAAAACTCATATGATCACCTTTCACAAACTTTCCTTATCATATTTCAAATAGCCAATATCTCTAAACCATTGACTTGTATATATTCCACAGGAATTTCTTAACATTTTTTGAAAACTTCACCATGCTACCTAGATTTCCAGTTCTTCCTAGGACAAGCTTTCATCCTGAATTATGTTCTCTTAACAGTAAAAAAACATGCCTAGGCCAACTCAAGGTCAGGATCTATTCTGCCTGCACAGAATATCAATTTGCCCACAGAATTTTGCTGACTAGAGATGGGAAGTACTCTAAAGAAAAAAAATAATAACATAAAATAAATTAACAAAGGTTAGCACTCCATCATTCAACCCCATGACACTATTAAACTAGCAGTTATGGACTAGAACTATCATGCAAGCCTCAGAATTAATGATGCCACTGAGTCCCTATCAGTGGAATATAGGTTTCCAGTTGCTTTTATTCTAGGCATAATGATTTGTGGTGAGCCAAATCAACTGTCATTAAAGTAGCTGCCAGAAGAACAAGTTAACAAAACAAATTAACAGGTCTGTAAGGACATCCCACGGCTAACCTTGGTATTTGGAGCAGAAATAGGAGGTTTAAATTCAACAAGTCAGTAACTGAAACTTGGCAACAAATCTTTATCGATCTACCACTGGTAGCACTTGAGTCAGCTCACTCCCTTCATGAAAACTGTTCTTCCTTGACTCCATTCTTACTTTCTAGACCTGTCTCACTCCCCCAGCTCCCAACCACTCTAGGATTCCTGGTATACCTGGAGCCCAAGTATGCTCCAGTCTTCATAAACCACAGGGACTGACCCAAATTTTCCAGAAGAAAAAACAGTGGAGGTGCTAAATAGTCAGCCTTGAGGGAAATACTAAAAATGCTTTCTTCAAATTAGACAATTGGTGATATACATGATATTTCTGAAATCTTCTGTGGGCATCCACATGACCAAACTCTAGGGAGAACTACTTATCCTATTATAGAATAGACACATCCCAAGGCCAAAAGATACCACACTGCTAAATAAGACACTTTAATATTATTTTCTCAGGAAGAGTTTCTTCCGTACCTGGAATGGTGGAAGAGAAAAAATATCTAGGCTCTAGCTAGTATCAGTAGGTTAACACATTTGAACATGCATGTATTGAAACTGTTGAAGTCTATAAATTAAATTGCTAAGTTTATACAGTTCATACTTAGATTATATTGGTTGTAGATTATTTTTGCAACATGAGTCTGCACATTCCCCATCCTTTCTAACCTGCATCCTCCTTTTAAAAACTAAAACATTAATATGATTTTTCTAAATAGCACATCTGGTATTTGTGCATTCAAATATTTATAGAGAACACTCTATAAAACCAAACCAAACTATTCAAAACTATGCTAAGACTTATTTAACCAAAGTCACATTTCTTAAAAAGATGCCCAATTAACACAGTCTTGCTGTAATAATATTATGGGAAAAGCCAGGTAGTATAAGAAAGGAGTACAGAAAATGAAGTTTATGCCAAGAGTTTTCTTTTGTTATTGCACATTTATTCTACACATTTATTATGTTACACTTTTATTCAACACTGTAATAAATATCCCTTAAAACAAAGAAAAACCATTGCATTAATACAAAAGTCAACATGCTATCTAGACCAATTTGCTTATCCACTCTCTTGGCAGGTTAGCCTCTCCAGGGTCAGGTATTATCGCAGAGTCTCTGGCATCACTTCAGGACAATTAGGTGATAACAAAGAAGATGAAGTTAAAAATGAAGCCCCTTTAATGATGCTACTTGAAACCTCCAGGAGAGTTTGCAATATAAGTGTCCAAGTCTTCTCCTTATTTACCCACTGTACTACCACACTAGCTTACTCCCTCCACTCCCATATTTAAAAAAATAAACTCTCATTTTCTTTAAAAGAAAAAGTGGGCTATTTGGTCCAGAAAAGCCAAAAGGCAAGCTTTAAAAACGCCAAGAAAGTATCACCTTATTGGACAGTGGACTATTTCAGGGCTGGTCATCCTTCTCTGGGGCAATATGGATTTTGGAGGTT